TAGATAGACAGATCTGGTATATATATATTTCTGTTGAGATCTATCTATCTATCTATCTATCTATCTATTTATCTATCTATCTATATATCTATCTATCTGTGGCTCACTCGTAATTTCCTATGTATGTGTCTACGTGCGTACGCTACATGCCGCGCACCCGTCGAAATGAGCAGGAAGCACGTTCGAATACATCTACAGGTTAACATCACGTGAGACAGGTGTTAATATTCCACTATCGTTATTTTTCTTAAGCACCCAACATCTATATTATCCAGGTATCTATTGGCTAATTACATTAGATTCAGAATTGTTTGTCTGCCTCTGCGCGTGGGTTGTTCGAAAAGTGGCAAAGGAGCTGATTGCGAAATAGATTGAGACGAAGAAATTATCCATTGTATATGCCTTCTGAGCTACCAGTAAGTTGTGCGTGTTGATGAGAGAGAGAGAGAGAGAGAGACAGACAGAGACAGACAGACAGACAGACAGGGAGAAAGAGAAACAGAGAGAAAAAAAGAGGGATCAAGTGAGCGAGGAAAAAAGATCGAGTGAGCGAGAAAGAGAAGACGAACGAGTTAGGAATCAGTGAGAAAGAGAGACCGACTGAAAGAATAAGGGAGAGTGTGATTAAGGAGGAGAGTAAGATAGAGAGAGTAAATAAGTGAGAAGGATAAAGAGAGTGAATGAGAGAGAAGGATAGAGAGAAAAAAAACAGAGAGCGAATGAAAGCATAAGAGAGAGAGAGTGTGTGTGTAAATGGGTGAAGAGAGTGAATTAGTGAGGAGGATTGAGAGATAAAGTCTGTGCGAGGGAATGAGGAGAGGGTAGAGAGACAGTTAGAGAGGAGGAGAAAGAAATAGATACTAGTCAACTAGTACAGAAGCGAATCTAACTCTCTTAAAGCTCTGTATTTATAGACAACGCAGGAGGTGTAGTGAGAGGAGAAAAATAGAAGCAATGTAGTCAGTAGGAGGGCAACTGGTGCAGAGGCAAAAGCAATCAGAAAAAAAGAAAAAGTAAAAAAAAAAGAAGAGAATGAAGGTCAAAGAAGAAGGCGGAGGAAAGTGAAGAATAAGAGAGAGGAGGAGGAAGTCAGGTGGAGATTTTAGGGAAACGTTCAGCCGATTGGGGTGAGCGCTCTTCCGACACAAGACGATGCTAACAGCTGAATATGTCAGGTCGATGTGACTTAGTCGTACATCGAACCCGGGCGCACATGTACGTCAGTGCCTCAACCACCGCCACCGTGTAAAAGAGGCTGCCACGGCCGACGTCTCCGCCGCCTGCGCCAACATCGTTGATGCCAAGCAGTTTATCGAGTCAGCAATATTCGATGGCGCCCGATATTTGCAACAAAAGCCGAGGACGAAGATGAAAGTGGAAAAGAAGGAGAAAATAAGAGAATTGGAATTGCCACCATCGCCTCTGGTTTTGTTGGCCGTCACTGTTTCTACCGATGCTGTCTCCGTCGACATATCGAGAAGAAGAAGAAGAAGAAGAAGAAGAAGAAGAAGAAGAAGAAGAAGAAGTGCGTGCGCGTGCACGCTCGTGTGTGTGTCTGTGTCTGTGTGTGTGTGTGTGTGCGTGTGTGTGTGCGCGAACACATACAAAAAAATGGAAGAAGGCGAAATGAAGCAAAAAGTGACACACAGTCGAGTCAGTAGAAGACAGACAGAAGTATAATGTTTTTGTTGGGTCATACCGCCCTAATATCCCCACAAAAAGAGAGATTCGCAAAAATCTTTACGGCCCCACATCTTTTTGCCTTTTGGAGATCTAGCTTTTTTTTTTAACAAGATCACTTTCTTTACTTTTACCATTTATTATTATTATTATTATTATTATTATTATTATTATTATTACATTTTTAACTATTCTTTCGTTCGTGTTTTCTTCCTTTTCTTCCTTCTTTCATTGTCTCTATCTCTCTTTCTATGTCAGTTACTTTTTTCTTTCTTTTTTCTTACTCCCTTTCTTTTCATTGGTCTGTCTACATACTTTATGATATAGTTTTCTTTCTTTCTTTGTACATGTTTGTTTAATCTATCTATCTATCTATCTATCTATCTATCTATCTATCTATCTATCTATCTATCTATCAGTTGCTTTCTTTTTTATACATGTTTGTATACTCATCTCTCTCTCTCTCTCTCTCTCTCTATGACAGGTTCTGTATGTTAGTTGCCTAGTTCCTTTCTTACTTTTTTCTTTCTTTCGTTCTCACTGTCTTGTCTCTTTGTCTATTTTTAATTGTATATGTGTCAGTTGCTTCCTTTAGTTCTTTTTTTTTTCTTTTTCCAGATTTTTCTATCTCTTTTCGTCTTTAATCTCTCTTCATGTTTGATTTCTGTCTCGAATTCATTCGGATATTTATCAACTATTTCCCCACCACGGATTTTATTTTTATTTTTGTTTTGTTTTGTTTTTGTTTTTTGTTTGTTTCTCTCCTTTCTCCTGTTTGCCTTTTTCTTTCTTTCCGTTGTTTCTTAACCTCCGACCTTTG